TGCTTCAAGTTCCCATCAGTGGTCGGGAAGACTTTTACGCAGAATGGAACCGCCTCAAAATCGCTACGATCGACGAGGCTGTGACGGTTATAGAACAGTTGCCCCACAAACACGTGGCCTTGCACTTATTGCAGAAATGCATGAGTTTCCCGAAGCTGTCTTATTGTAGTCGTACGATTAGTCGTTCCCATCTTCAACCATTGCTCGAGGCCCATAATGAACACATACGTGTTGCTCTTCAATACCTTCTAGGCAGACAGTTGACCGACAGACAATGGATCCAAACGACGCTTCCGACGAAGGCCGGGGGACTAGGTCTAACGATCGACCGGATAGCTGTTCAGGGCGGTTTCATTTCTCGAGCCGACATTGCCATGGTTTGTTCATGTCGGTCCACCAGAGAACAGGTTCGAGGAATGTTGGGCATTGCTGGAGATATGGGAATCGATCCCATCGAGGAATCAGCTACTCGATCCTTGAGACAACTTCTCCCGACTTCCATCTTAGGAGATGGCCCAATGTTCTCAAGCAGCGAGATCTCAACCAAGCCGCTATTGAGAAGTCAGGCGCTTACCTCCTCCAAGCCCTTCCTGCAGGAGAAGTAGCTAGATTCCAAGCTTGTAGGGCACCTTGGGCCGACGGTTGGTTGAACGTCGTCCCGAGTTCTTGTTTCGATACCCTTCTGTCCAATGTTGCAGTCGAAAAAAGATCAACCCTCATGCCGGCCGGTGCAAGAGACTTATGCTCCCAAAAGCAGTCGTTGATTCTATTTCTTTGCGACTTGGTCTCGAGGTTCTCGAAAAAACGAACATGTGTCCCTTTTGCCCCCAAGCCCTCGATCTTCTCGGTCACCATTGTACGACTTGTATGGCAGGAGGTATGAGATCTCGAATGCACTATACTCTTCGAGATACGATCTTCCGCGCGGCCCACCAGGCCGGAATGCGACCTAAACTCGAACCCGGAAATTTGCTTCCTCACGATCCCGAACGTCGACCGGCGGACATTCTCCTCATGAATACCCCTCTTCTTCGTCAAAATCAATGGCGTCGGTATTCACAGCTCGCTCTTGACTTTGCCTTGGTCTCTCCCTTCTCGCTCTCTTCAATCGGGAGGGGCGTTGCGGAAATAGGGGCAGCCGCGTGTTTTTACGCAGAGAAGAAACGTCAAGATCGGGGCACCCAAGAAGCGTGTCAAGCACAACAGATAGGCTTTGAACCCATCATTTTCGAAACTATGGGAGGATGCGAGTTCGGAGCCCATCAACTTTTGAAGAGTCTCTGTCAAGAATGCGACAAAATCTTGAGTAGATCTGATGGGTCAACGAAATCTTTCTTGAAAGGACGGATCTCGATCGATATCCAACGCGGCCTATCCCATATTCTTGAACGTTGCCGGACCGCCCAACTCGCAGAGGGCGACACGGAGGGGCACATTAGGAGATTCATTCACGAGTGTAGTGGGTAAGTCATCTCGAACATCTGGAGCCAAGTTATCTCTCCTTTTGAGGTGATCCAAATGCGGGTGTTTGCTGCCGTCAGTGGTGCGCTGCCGCCCATCGTGATGGTTTGTTTAATCCCCATTTGTATAGGTCTTCTCGACGAGAAGTATGGATGCCGAGGATTTCTCCGTTGTTTTCTTGCGATCGCAGGACCTGGGGCTTAATTCGGGGTGGTGGCGGGCTTTTCAATTGGCTGCAAGTCTTATGATCGCGTGCTCTTGGTTCCTTCTGCTTTCTTCTGGCGTCCGGTAGTCTCCTTGTATTATAAATGGAGCGTATATCTCCTCTCTCTTTTTCGATGTTAGATCGAATCACGAACTTGGATTAATTGGAGCTTATGGGAGTAGAAGTCAAGAGAGCAGAAGTCTCTCGCACTATCTCTCGTCGTCTCTCTTTCAATGAAGATTTCGTAGTGCATTGGTGCTTTTGGGAGCATAAGTCTCTTGCACCGATCAGATATCTGCAGTCTTCGTTCTTTTCTTCTTTGATTTCGTCCCCCCTAAGATGCCCCCTTAATTGGGGATGCTGGCGGGCTTTTTGCACGATAGAGTGTCCTGGGGAGTTCGAAATTTTGTCGTACTTGGTTTCTCTTGGGTTCCTCGTCTCATTTATTCGATTTCATTCGAATCTTTACAAGATAAATTGATATTTTTAAGTGCAGACGTCATTTGCGCCGAAGAGAATTGCTGTCTCACTCCTTGACGATCAGAACGACATCATCTCCTCAAATTTCTGCCCCCCAAAAATATCAATTAAATATAGTCATTCCAGAAGTATCTCAATTTCAAGGGGAAAGATCCACCACCACTCTGAATTATGAGAATACGAGGAACATCACCAGAAAAGAGACACAAAGGAGGCCCATCCAGAAAACCCCCTACGGCTTCCCTTACTTAGACAACAATGCACAGCGATTCACAGAAGCGCAAATGTGTTGCAGCGTGGGCAACAACTTTGGCGACAACGATGGCGTCAACACTATAAGGATATCAATATCATCTTTTCCTGGCCTCCTCCTTTCTATCCGATATATAAAGAAATATAATTAATCGAATATAAATCCGAGAGACAAAGAATCGATTTTGCCTTGGCATCCCGCACGTCTCCAATAATGAAGATAACGTTGGCGAGCGATAGAAATTCTCTCCTCGAGTAAGTGTCGGGTTCGACATGGCGTCAAGTTGGCTTCCCTCCTGACCGGGGCGGGCCAGGGTTGGTGGCGGAAAAGATCACAATCGAATAGGAATTCTATTCCAGAATCGATATTCCTTATATGACAACCATTTATTCTACGCGCAACCTCTGCGAACATCTGATCTCGCGTCCAGGCGATCAATGCAGATGCCGGCTGCCACCCCCAGCAGCTCAACTTGGTGTGGGACTTCGGAGGTTCGGGTGAAGGAGCTGGGGCAGGCGGTGGGTTTATGGTTTGAGGTTTTGGGTGTAGAGTTTAGGGCAAGGGTTTCGGAGCATTGGGTGTTCTAAGCCTCGGGGCCCGAACCAGCAACCCAAGACTCTCAAAGCGTAGCGCGCCGACGGCTGTGCCTAAACCCTGTAAACCCTAAGCCCTATATACCCACAACAAAAAAACTAAACCCTATAAACCCTAAACCCCAAAAAGCCTAAGCCCTACAACCCTAAACGCTATACACCTGAAACCCTATAAACCCTAAGCCCTAAACCCTTAAATCCTAAACCCTATAAGCCCTCAAACCCAATAGATCTAAACCCTATAAGTCCTAAACCCTATACATCCTAAACCTTATAAATCCTAAAAACCCTAAAACCCCTGTGAATCCTAAACCCTCCGCCCTTCGAGTTGCCTCCCTCCTCGCAGTCGGAGTGGCTCATGAGGAAGTCGAAAGCTGCGCCCCCCCTTGCCAGAAAATTCAAGAGAATTTGGCAGTATTTGGGGTTTAGGGTTCAGGGTTTAGGGTTTAGATTCAGAGTACTTGGGGTTTAGGTTTCAGGGTGCTGACCCTGATATTGTGTTGGATGTCCATGCCTGTTGCGCCGAAGTTCAACTCCATAATGTCTCGAAGCACAGACACAGACCAATGCACCCAACGTGGTAGTCTCAACGAAATTTCTGGGCATTGTATTAAAGATGAAATTTCTCTTCCTTATTGAACCCTTAAACATGTAACAAAAGTACCCCACTTAGGGGCTTAGGGCTTAAGCTTTATTTGTTCCGGGCTTAGGGTTGCTCCGGACCTGCATGACGTAGTGTGCTCTAGTCAAGCCTCAGATTTGGAGGCATGCTCTCAGGAAAACACGGCGAAAAGCAAGAACTATCCTTTTCCCGGAGGATTCAGGTGCAGGCGAGCTGCAAACAAGCCCTATACTGCCCGGGACCGAACCAGTAGATCTTGCAAATTCGTTCGCAAGAACCCTCCATCTACACCCTAGAACCCTAAACCTTACCTTATTTCCAGGGTTCAACCCAGCCTCGAACTCTCAAAGTATTCTTTGCCCCTGGATTCCATCCCGGGCTGCGGCTTCGAATCCCTTTGATGCCCTGCCGGTATTGGTCGCGTAAAGCACTCATTCGGAGGCTCCTATGAATCAGCGTTCTTATGCCGGGTTTGCAAGGCAAGAACGCCCATAAGAGCTCCCGAAAGGTGACCAGCATGGCTCTGGCAACTCCTGCAAGCATCACCGAGGTCGCTGTCACTACAGCACACGGTTGTAAATGCACACTGCTGCTAGATAACTTGCAGCGTGGAGGACAGCCTGTTGCCTGAGGCATGCTTGGTGTTGTGAGAAGATCAGACATAAGCCGTCTTGAAATGGATCATATAACACCCATGGCCGGCAACTACTCGTACCCCGTGCTGCACACAGTCTGACAATAAACCCTAAACCCTAAGAGCCTTGCAGCAACCGGCCAGGGCCTCCAGCAGTGATCCAGCTAGAAATAAAAACTCAGGGCAGCTGGGCAGCCGAGGCAAATCGCCCACCCAGCCACAAACGCGCAATTACTACAGGGGCCTTCATAATTAGAATGGGTGTTATTATAGTATACTCATATAGGGACCATGGGGGAATACTATTCGTAGCTATTCCGACCCCTACATTACACAAAAACAGCCGTGCGCTCAGCAGGAAGTCTACTGCACCGTGCACTCAGCCGTGCGGCTTCCGAAGCTGGCCTGCCGTCGTTGGGGAAGTTACTTTGCAACGTCCCCCCCAAGTGTTCATCGCAAAAGCAGCATCCCTAAATCCTAGACCCTAAACCCTAAACCCTAAAACCCTAAACCCTAAACCCCAAACGTTGCATCTAGCCATGCAGGAGCTGCCAGGACCTGTCTTAAGCAACGCCACAACAGCCACTCAGCAGGGCTCCCGGGCTCCCGCACAACATGGCACATGGGAGGTTTTCCTCGAAAATCGGGTCTACCCTTTTATTGTTTTAAGGCTTAGGGTTTAGGGTTCCTTTTCTAAATTGCGAGAGCATTTTGGGGGTATATAAGGACATCCCCATTTTGGGATAAAAGGCCCATATGGACGCATCAGAGCAGGTTTCCGAAGGCACCTCATCTCCCGTCTTCTGCTTGTGCTTCTCCGCTTCCTGCCCGAAAACGCATACACATCATGGCGTCGTAGCAGAATATAGGGGCCTTGATGATTAGAACAGGGTTTTGGGGTGTTATTGCGGCATAATTACAAAGGGACCATAAGGGACTACTACTAGTAATTCTTCGGACCCATATATTATGATCTTTGCATGGGTGGTATTTGACCAGAAGCTTTTGGAACCTCAGTGCTTTTGATCTGAATTTGCTGCTTGGATTGGGTGGATCAAGTCTCGGTGAGGTATGCAAGTAAGTGCAAAAATGCTGGTTGCGTCTAGGTTAACGCTCTGCTTCAACGGGTTCTCACATCAATGCTTGCATCAGCTATCGCCATAGACAGTACCAGCATAACACTAAACAGCAACCCGAAACCCGCCCTAAACCCTAAACCCTAAACCCTAAACCCTAAACCCTAAACCCTAAACCCTAAGCCCTGGTGATGCCGACCTTAGCTCCGGTTGTTGGGCATGCACTTTCAGCACCATCATCCGCCGTGTGCCACTGCGGGCTGCCGTTCCACACAGCCTCTCACTTCAAGCTTGTTACCGTTTGGGTTTAGGGCTTAGGGGTTTAGGGGTTTAGAGGTTTAGGGGTTTAGGAGTTTAGGGTTTCGGGTTTAGGGTTTAGGGGTTTAGGGGTTTAGAGGTTTAGGGGTTTAGGGGTTTAGGGTTTCGGGTTTAGGGGTTTAGGGGTTTAGGGGTTTAGGGTTTAGGGTTTAGGGTTTAGGGTTTCGGGTTTAGGGTGCATAGTATACTATGCAGTATGGCCCAATTTTCTATCGTATTGGGACTGAACACAAACTCCAGGTATGAGCTGACATAGGCCACTGAACATTTGTTATCCATTGTACCATATATGGTAGGGCATAGTATCGTGCAGTATAGTCTTGTAGAGTAGAGCATAGAAGGTCACTGGCTTCAGATCCCTACGCAAGGCATTCTCTTTTCAGGTGCCCGCAAATCAAACGGTCTGGCTCTTCATGTAGACCCCTCGGGTGCTCGACGAAAGCTGCAAGGAGACATGGGCATTTGCTATTGCATGCTACTACTAGACTGTAGCATACTGTACTATATTACCCAAGAGGAACGCAAGCAAAAGAAGTGCCCTTTTGCTTTTGGGTTTAGAGGGGCTTGTAAGGGAACCTAACCCAAATAAGAAGGGAATAAGGGCCTACTCTGGGTCATGGACTTCTAGTATGCTATAGCATACAGTGAGGTCACGATGAAAAAGGCCGAAAGACTTGGACAGAGCGGAAAACAATGGTCGCGACAATCTCGTCGGCAGGATTCTTATCCTCAGCTCGGACTTTCACACCTAAACCCCACACCCTAAACCCTCATGTATAAACCCTCAACCCTGAACTCTATAACAGGGGGTAGGGCGGTTTTCAATGTTGTCGAATTTCCAAAGTATACAATCACATGGCATGCTGCACATGCAAGAATGGTATGTGCACTATGTGCACACAGTGTGAATACAATGAAGGTACATGTACTTTGCAATACGCTGTTCCCGACCTTCACGCTCAAATGATCACTCTAACTCTGCGCTCACAGTGTAGCACGTCAGGGCTTCTGAAACGCGAAGCATGAAGTGTAGTGCTGGCCATTGGTCGTCGTGATGGTGCTGGCTGGTAGTAGTAGTGATAGTAGTAGTAGTAGTAGTAGTAGTAGTAGTAGTAGTAGTAGTAGTAGTAGTAGTAGTAGTAGTAGTAGTAGTAGTAGTAGTAGTAGTAGTAGTAGTAGTAGGAGTAGGAGGAGGAGTAGGAGTAATAGTAGTAGTCGTAGTAGAAGTAGTAGTAGTAGTAGTCGTCGTCGTCGTCGTCGTCGTCGTCGTCGTCGTAGTACTACGACGACGACGACCACTACGACCACGAGGAGGACGACTGCTGGTACTACCACTGCAACAATGCGACTACAACGACGACAACTACTACGAATACTGCTACTGCAAAGACTGCAAGAGTATGTCTCTTGAGGGCCGAAGCGTTCTGGAAGGAACCGCTGCATTGAGGAATCACTTAAACGTCTCCAAACGCTGACTCTTACCCTGCTGTCATAAACACCTAAACCCTGAACCCTAAACCCAAACCCTAAACCCACAAACCCTACATACCCTGCTGTCATACACAGCAAAGCAGTATTCTATCGCATGGCATGCTGTCGATATGTGTGCGCCCAGCTGCTGGATGCCATTTGAGCTGCGCTCTTCGTAGTATGGCCTGTGACGGCATTCCTAAAAACAGTTACGTGCGGTAAGGGGCCATGAACCCAGAACCCTAAACCCTAAACCCTAAACCCTGAACCCTGAACCCTGAACCCTAAACCCTAAACCCTGAACCCTGAACCCTGAACCCTAAACCCTGAACCCTAAACCCCAAACTACTACCTCCCCAGCGCACTCAATATGACTCGCAGCGAGCGCCATCTATTCAACCTGTTCCAGGACAACATGGCTGGCAAGCCTGTGAACATCCTTAAAGCCATCCGTAAGCCCTAAACCCTAAACCCTAAACCCTAAGCCTCCCTAAGCCCTCTAAAACCTAAACCCTAAACCCTAAACCCTAAACCCTAAACCCCACCAAGGGCGGAGGCTTGGCCTTGCAGTTTGCGCAGCTGGAGCCTTTCTGGTCGCCCATGCGGCAGGCCGGGCAAAGTGTCTCCTGTGGTAGGGTTTAGGGTTTAGGGTTTAGGGTTTAGGGTTTAGGGTTTAGGGTTTAGGGTTTAGGGTTTAGGGTTTAGGGTTTAGGGTTTGTGGTTTAGGGTTCAGGGTTTAGGGTTTGGGGGTTTAGGGTTCCACCTCCCGCAAGATTGTTCCGCGCGGCTTGAAACTGGCGGCGGAATCCCACGGTTTTTTGAGCCCACCCGTAGTTTCCAGGACCGTAGACCGCAGCATGCTTCGTGCGGTTTAGGGTTTAGGGTTTAGGGTTTCGGGTTTAGGGTTTCTCACCCCCCCCTACCCCCCCAAGTTCGGTGTCCTTCAACAGCTGGATTTGTCGCTGGACCTGGTCAAGCGTCGCAGAAACCATGGATATTGGTCCTAGGATGCTGTAAGACAAAATAACGCAGCACATACTCGTCTTGCATAGTGTTTTATGTCATCACGATGATGGTATGGCATTTAGACAACTACGTGAGTCCACTCTGAAGAGATCTCTGAACAGAGAAGTTGACCAGCCCAATTCCAAAGGTGCAGTATTCCGCTTCAACTTCCAAGCATCTGTGTTCCACTCGCTCCTGCCGTAGCACCCCGCAACAAGAGCACGTGCCAGCCTCCACGTCTCTCATCCTTTCCTTGCAAGCTTTCGCCGGTGCATGGGTGCCAGGCAAGTAGCAAGGCAATCAGGGCAAAGGTTATAGACAGTTATAGAGAAACACAGGGCCGGCAGATTTGATCATTACTAGGGCCCACAAGAAATCCTCCGCCAGAGCGTTGCTGCAGTGCCCACACCGCATCAAACTGCCCAACCTAGCATGCTACCGCTGCTGCAGCCATGCGGCGGCGTACTTGTCACAGCTCTGCTCATGAAGCTCCGCCGCGGGAATGTCTGTGAAGATCACGCGGCAGCCCCGACAAGCCCGTGCTTTGCACGCCTTTGCAGTGACATGCTTCGTGAGCTCCGCCTCTGAAGCGAAGCCCGCATCGCAGCCAGGGCACCTGCGCACGAAAGGGCACCAGGCCTGATGCTTCAGGCAGCTTCCCTCATCAGGATAGTAGGCGCCACACCTACCGACACAGCTCCGAGCAGCACAGGCACGCTGGTCAACGTGCTTGAGCAAGAGCTTGAAGTCAGGGAAGTCTTCTGCGCATCCTGGACACCTGATTCTGAATGTCCCCAAACCTCCAAGAACAGCGACGCTGAACTGGATCTGGATCCTCCGCACGAGCTCATTCACGTCACCCTTTGGGCCGCTGACAATCCAGGGGTTTCGCTGCGTATCTTCACGCGTCTCTAAGCCTGCCTTGAGAGTTTTGATGGTGGAGCCGTTTTTGCCAATTATGAGCCCTGCCTGGCTAGAATTGATTTGCAGGGAGACCACCTCGTAACATTTCAGCTTCTCCAGGATCTCGGAGCACGCAGCACGGCAGTCCTCTCTGCTGCCCACTATCCTTGGTAGCCCAGTAACCATGTCATAATAAGGGCACCCTTTTCTTGGTTGGCTTCTTATAAGGGAACCCGGAGCAAAAAATGAAAACGTAAAGAGTGCCACTGGGCTACCAAGAATCTGGGTCGTCGTCCAGGCTTTTTCGGTGGCTTCTCCGAACTGGATATCTACCTCCCTGTCTGCCTTGATCGACTTGATGGTTGCCCCATTCTTGCCCACAACTTCCCCAACCAACTTGCTGCAGATGTGAAGGCTGATACTGGCATACCTCAGCTTGCCATGGACAGCGTCCAACCCTAAACCCGAAACCCTAAACCCTAAGGCCCTAAGACCCTAGACCCTGAACCTACACACCGCCCATGGGTGGCGACTTGGTCCAAGGGGCTCGACGAAGATCACCTGCTGGAGGAGCTCTTCAGCGTAGTCCACCTTGCCCAAACAGGGTCAGGGTTTAGGGTTTAGGGTTCAGGGTTTAGGGTTTAGCTGATAGGATCCCTTCAAGGGCATATACAGGGCCCTAATTCCCTCATTCCCTACTAAGACCCAGCAGGCCAGCTAAACGTGTGGCAAGTACCATAATCCCCGAAAACCCTGTTCCAGTAAAGTAGGCCCCTATAGGGTCCATGCACGTCGAATAGAATGAAAGCACAAAATCCGGTACATGTTACTGGGGTTTTGGTATTCATTCTATCCCAAGAGCACAAATAACCTTATCAATTTCCCCTACTAATTACGTTCATATTGTTACTGCCATCATGTCAATGTGTATCACTCATTCATACCATTCGTACCACCTTTGTCGTGTCTTCTAGAGACCTGACTTAGCGATCTTGCTGCCTGGAATCTAACGTAACTGGAGGAAATGCCCCAGACAACTGGCACTATGCACACATCAGCCGGTCTGGTAGCTGAAAGAGTTGTTACATGGTCCCTTAGTACGTCCCTTGAATCGGGACCCCAAGAATACCCCGTTACATATCCCACAAAACCCAAGAACCCATACCTCAGAACCCTGTACAGAAAGTAACGGACCATATTACGGGACCATGCAACTACCCTTTGATTTTGGAACTCGAAGCTTAGGGTTTAGGGTGTAGGGTTTAGGGTGCGAGTTTCGTCACGAATGAACGCTATGGACGCTGGCGAACGCTTGGAGGCGCGCCTTGCGGTCGCACACTGATCACACTGCGCGGATCCAGGTCACCTCCCTACCCTCAGACCCAACTCGCGAAACGAAAAACCTTTCGTCTGTAACCAAACAATTCTGAACCCTCACCCCCTAAAACCCTGAAACCCCAAAACTCCTAAAACCCTGAAAACAGCGGAAAAGACCAAGACCCCTAGAAGCGAACGAAACCCCTAGAAGCGGCCCAAAACCCCTAGAAGTGGACGAGACCGTGACGGCCCAAAACCCCTAGAAGCGGACGAGGCCGTGACGGCTCAAAACCCCTAGAAGCGGACGAGATCGTGATGGCCCAAAACCCCAAAACCCTAGAAGCAGACGAGACCGTGACGGCCCAAAACCCCTAGAAGCGGACGAGACCGTGACGGCCCAAAACCCTGCAATTCTAATAAGTAAAGCCCGCACAAAGGACCTCGTTAAAATAATATGAACAGAATGAATGCTTTCTCCCCTTTCTTTCCTTGGCATGCGAATTCTGTTACAATATGCTCTTTTTCTTGGGCTTTTTCTACATTTATTTCTCACTTATTACGTTCGTACAATTATTAACAAAAGGAGAAAATAAGTGAATTAGCGAACGCGTCCCGTCAATTAGTACATTTTATTTGAATGGTACTGCTAGTATAGTAAGAGGCTAGTGCTGCACTAACTTATAATTTACTTCGTACTCTTTCTTCATCTTGGAAGAGCTATATCTTATGCTTCATATTTTTATAATCCAAATACTTAGTTTTCTGGAATTATTATTTACTTCTTCTTAATGCGAACAGCATTTATGGGTTATGTTCTACCTTTAGGACAAATGAGTTTATGAGGAGTTACAGTAATTACAAATTTCTTATCTCCATTTACATCTTTAATAGAATGGCTTTGTGGAGGACATTATATTTACAGTCCAACATTACAGAGGTTCTTTGTCTTTCATTTTCTATTTTCATTTCTTCTTTGTGCTTTTCTTCATTTTCAGATTTTTAATCTACATTTTCTATCTTCTAATAATCCTTTGAGGAATTCCACTAATAATGAAATAGCATTTTTGATCTATGGACAGATGTTGATTATCTATCTATATCTTCTTCAAATTCATTTCGGCTTCTCTTCTTTCTCACATCCAGATATTGCATTAGAAGCATGTGGATTACTTACTCCTTTACATATAGTACCTGAATGGTATTTCTTATGCCAATATGCTATGTTCAAAGCTGTACCAAATAAAAATGCTGGATTCACTATCTTATTTACTTCCATCTTCATCCTATTTTACTTTATATGAGAAGTCTTTCAATGTCATTCTATTTTATAATTAAAACGTCCAGTAGATTTAATGGTTTTTATCTGTGCTTTTGGTTTCTTTCACTTTTTTCTTTTATTTGGATAGGTGGTCAATTTCCTGTAGACAACTTTCTGTCCTATGGTCGTATCTTGACATTACACTATTATCTTCTTTTGTCCTGGTGTGTTACGTTCACGCTTATATTAATTTCATGCGTTCATTCCATTCGCTTATAAATTAATATAATGCGTTCTCTTCACAGTAATAAGAATGTTCTCTAGTTTTCTTATTTATCATTCCGCGAGACAGTGAAGCAGACGAGACCGTGATGGCCCAAAACCCCTAGAAGCGGACGAGACCGTGACGGCCCAAAACTCCTACAACCTAAAACCCTGGGAAAGAAGGAGGAGCCAAAAACCCTAAACCCTGAACCCTAAACCCCTAAAACCCGGAACCCCTACAACCCTGAAACCCTGTAAAGAAAAGAAAGGAGGCTGCCGCCTCAACTCTGAAACCCTAATCCCCTCCACAACCCTGAAACCCTAACCCTAAACCCTAAACCCCAAACCCAGACCCCAGAACCAGACCCCAACCCCCAAACCCCAAACCCCAAACCCCAAACCCCAAACCCCAAACCCCAAACCCTAAACCCTAAACCCTAAACCCTAAACCCTCAGGAGCCTGCCGCTGGTTCCCCTGGATGCAGAGCTGATTCTCCAGATCCTTCGGAACGTAGAGCCAAGCCTCTCCGAGGGCTGGGCCGCTGCAGGGTTTAGGGTTTAGGGTTCAGGGTTCAGGGTTTAGGGTTTAGGGTTTAGGGTTTGGGGTTTAGGGTTTAGGGTTTAGGGTTTGGCGTTTAGGGTTTGGGGTTTCGGGTTTGGGTTTAGGGTTGAGGTTTCAGGATCTATAGGATTCAGGGCTTAGGGTTTAGGGCGTATAGGGTTCAGGGGAAATAGAGTTTAGGGTTTGGGTTTTCGTGTCTTTAGTGCTCGGGGCTTTTATACAAAATTCTCTGGTATACCATACTCGTGCATCAGAAGATACCGTGGACAATCGTATCCCAGTGTATACCAGACTATCAAGGGCAAAAGCCCTCGTTACGACCAGGGTAAATAATGTTGGATGTTGGCAATTGCGGAAGGGACCTCGCTGTCGCTCCTGATTCGCTTCAGTCTGCCCCGCACGAAGCCTGAGCTGCAAACCCACGGCATGTTATCGCGTACCAGAGCTTACATATATACTGTAGTAGACTACAGTACACCACACTCCCACTTTGCAATACGCCATCAACTCCTTCCCGGCATGTACAGCATGGTATACTGTACTTATAGCACGGTTTCGTACAGTGTAGTGTCGTGCAGTATAGTAGCAACCATACCATTGTTATATGTGATAGTACGCAAAACGTCATCTGCTGGCAGCTGCAGGGACTGTACATCGAAGTCAATGTGCAGCGCTGAAAGTTCTTCCTGAACAGTAGTCGTACACTAGAATTAAGTGCTTCCACGCTAACCCATAGTACGTTCTAAGCAAACGCGACCAACAAGACGCCTGCACGACCCTACGCCCCAAACCCTAAATCATCTGCTGGGCTCTGGACACGACATCCTCTGTTATCCCATAGTATAGAGGTACAGTCGATTATTACTATAGCACGATAAGAGAAACCCTCGTGTGCTGCAGACCCGCAGTCGACCGAGGGGCGTGAAGATCCCGCCGGAAGATCCAGCATCTTCGTCACCTTGCGGTTCTCCTGGAGCTGTTTAGGCAGCCAAGTTGAGGTTGACGGCTGCTTAAACTTTAGGGGCACACAGGGTAGATCGACGTTGATGCCAGGTCAAGGTTGAGGATTATGGCGCCTGAGATCAGAGGATGCTGTCCTGTATGTAGGCCTTCACCCTCGCCAGAACTTGGTTCACTTCAGCAGCTTTGCCCGTGATCTGCACCTACACGGAGACAGCACGCCGCTCAACAAATCCAATGCCGGACAAAGCATCGACTCTGCCGGCTCCTCCGCCACTACTTGGGAATGAGGTACCCTATATAATCCCTCTCATTCCCTCATTCCCTGCTAAACAAAAAAATTACGGCCCGCTCTGGATTTACGGTTGAAAAGCTTAGGGTTCAACTTGGCACACATCTTAGGAAAACAGTTTTTCACAGCCGCCGCCTGCGTGTCCACATCTGACCCAACCGTCACCTGGACGGAGCTGTCACGGCAAAACTCCTCGTGACAAGCAAGAAGACGCCGCAGCAAGCACGGCTGACTCATAAACCCACTATCCACTGAGATTGGGGAGGATTGCCATCGCATGCCCTAAATACATCTAAATACACTCGCAAACCGCGGTTTGGAATGGGCGTCCTTTAGGATTTAAGCTGCGCCGTAAAATCTTGGCCGCTTGATGATGTTACAGGCGTTCGCTCCCCCCTGACACAGCCCACTCCATACTCACGGTCTCTCTCTCTCTCTCTGTCTCTCTCTGTCTTGTTCTTCTCTCTCGTTCGCTCGCTCCCTCCCTCCGTCCCTCTCTCTCTCACTCTCTCTCTCTCTCTTGCGCTCGCTCCATGCTCACAGTAAAGATGTAAGTTTGCTCAAGAGTGCTAAGGAGAATCTTTAAACCTCAGCCCTTTCCCCCAAAACTAGTGGGTAAAAGCAGTACACTTCCAAAAAGCCAAAGGCTGCGCTTCATGTCTCCTTGAGGTTGGTCCCTTTCCTCGGCCAGGTTGCTTAGGATTTGGGGTTTAGGGTTTAGGGTTTAGGGCTTGGGGCTTTAAGCTTTAGGCTTTAGGGTTGCACATTCGCTGCAAAGCGCAGAAAGAGGTGTACAGCAGTGGTAGCGCAATCCATCTGTGGCGGGCTGTAACAGAAATATTGGTTGCAGTGGGAGCATCCGACATTGTGCACCCTGACCCTACTGCGAGTACTTCTCAGCGGTTCAATCTGACTTCACTTGCAAAAACCCTGAGCACATGTATGTACAGCATGGTGGCGTGACCATGACAATAATCATCTTGCACAGCCGGGAATGGGAGCAGACCCGACATCCACGAGAGCAACGTGACAGCTTCTGATGATGCCACACTGTAGCATACTACAACCATCTGCAGTGTACTACGCTACAGGCACCCACCCTGAACGCTCATTTCGGTACTGACAACACACCCAAATCCTCACGTAAAAGAAGGGTTCCCCACTAGTTGTAACCATTCCGGAAGAGGGAATTCCACAGCCTCCAGGCCAATTCATCACTCCCCGACTTCTTGTTGATTTCTGGGGGCAAGGGCTTCAAGCCCAGTAACCTGAGCCCGCACACCAAAGCGGCAACTGGCCGAGTTTCTTCAGCATCCAGCGCAAGGAGGGGTCATCGACCTCCACTCGGAAGGCTGGTGATCAGGGACCCTAGTATGGCACTTGCACCTACCAAAGAGCTTTGGGTCTGGGGTCGTTCCAGAGACCTTGCAAGCGCAGCTTGACATCACAGAGCCCACTACACTCCACAACTTTGGATGAGCATGCGCCCATCGGACACGGCGCAGCCGGTCTTGGGAGGTCCAACAAATAACGAGCACCGGAGAACAATCAGGTTGCCGCAGCAGAACAGTTCGATGGTTTCAGTGGTATATGGTCAAGCGCACACATTCAGCCAGAGCTCCAGCAACCGCAGTTCGTAACATAAGCAACGTACCCAAGTCACAACTCAGACGGGGCTTGCCTGAAGCCGCTTCGTGATCACATCCTGCTGGAGAGTCTCTAACATCACCTTCATGCGCTGTCGCTCTCCTCCCATGGAGCTGCGTAGGGGTCAGAGGGGAGGGGGGGCTGTCAAGGTCCTGCCTAGACCGTAAACCCTAAACCCTAACCCCTAAACCCTAAACTCATGTGTAGCCTGCTTCCAAACAACTGCAGACACCGGCTTCCAGACCGCCAAAGTCGATTCTCGCTGCCAAACAACTGAACCCCCGCCTTCAACCCTGAACGCCATACCCCGAAAGCCCCGAGCTCAAAAATTCCTTTCTTGGTCTGGGTTTCGGCCTACACAAGGATTTACAGGGTTTAGGGTATTCAGGGTTTGCAGAGTTTACAGGGTTTATAGGGCCTACAGAGGGACAATGGGACTAGCATTTAACTGTATACGAACGGTTTGTATATAGTTGTACAATACAGTCTGTACAGGATATGGTTGTATAGTATATACTTTTGTGTAGTAAAGTAGGGCTTTGCAATAGTATAGTACGGTATGCTAGAACAGTCCTGTCATTGTTTCGTCGCCTCGTTTCCTTCGAGACACGGTACTACGCTATAGTTCCTACTCGGTTTAAGGTTTGAGGTTCCGGGTTTAAGGATGTGCGAAGGACCTCTCTATAACTAGGTAATCAGCTATGAGTTCATATTAAGGCCCATGTTTGCACTTTACGTTGTCTGTTTAATTTTCTCTTTCAAGGCAAACTTTGAATAATGCAAGCACACGTCCTGGACCCAAACCAAGTCCAAAACCTAAACACACTTGACACGCACTCACCCACACACACACACAAAACAGGAAACAAAAAGAAAAGCTTCGATCTACCTTCCTGGTCCACGGCCAAAGGGGGCGACGACAAGTAGTAATTAGGCAAATCTACAGCTTGATGTTTGCATGGATGATCTTTGAGGGAGTTCGGCAAAAACCCTGTGACGTTTTGATGTTGTGGTGCAACGAACGTTTGGTGGTCACGTGTGTTGAAGAGCACATCGCGAAGCCAATAAAAATAGAATGCATGTAGCACACATGCCCTAGCTGCTATATTCAATGCCTGGCTCAACGTGTACATAGACAGGTCCATGCCGCGCAGTTCCTATGTATGGCTTTCCTGAATACCTGCTGCATAAGACCAACGCATGCTGCTTAACATGCTCCTTCGTGCACGGTACCGATGTAAAGTCGACCAGAAGTCATGCTAGTCGGGTCGTGCAACCCTAACCCCTAAACCCAGAGCCCTATGCCCTAAACCCTAATCTCTAATCCCTCAAAGCTAAGCCCTAAACCCTAAACCAAGTCTCCCTGCCTGCATTGCCGCAGATATGGAGAAGATCGGATGAGTCATCAACTTGGAACCTCGGGAGAGTGGTTCTGGCTTCCCCCAAGGGGTTTACAGGATGCTTTAGGGGTTTAAGATTTAGGGTTGTAGGGTTCAGAGTGTTGTAGGGTTTTAGGATGTCTTAGGGTTTTGGGCTTTAGTGTTCTGTGCGTAAGACAAAAACCAGATAGGAGTCACGAACCCGAATGCAGATACGTACTCCGCGTACGAAAAAAAAGAAACACGGTGCACGGTGCGAGATCTGAACTGAAGTGTGTTATCCGTCTCTTTCTCTCTCTCTATTGTCTGTCAAGTACTGATCTCTCTCTCTCTCTGGTCTCTCGCTCTCTCTTCCCCTCTCTGTCTTTCCATCTCATGCCCTTCTTCTCTCTCTCTCTCTCCCTCACATCTAACCTCTCTTTCATCCCTCTCTCTCTCTCTGATTCACTCTCCCTCTCTCTAATTATCCCTCTCTTTCTCTTTCTCATTCTCTCTCTCTCTCTCTCATTCTCTTTCTCATTCTCTCCATTGTCTCGCTCTCTCTCTCTCTCTCTCTTTCCGTCGCATTCTCTCTCTCTCTCTCCAGAGAAAGCGAAGACGCACCATTAAGCAGAACCACGGCACATAGTAAGTGAAGACACACCAATAAGCAAAACAACTGCGCGCAGTAAGCGAAGACGTACCAATAAGCAAAACAATCGCATCGAGGTCATACAATCAGCGAAAACACACCAATATGCAAAACAACCCCCACATCGTAAGCGAAGACACGCCAATAAGAAAACACGGGGAATCACGGATTCTTTGTAGGTGTTCACCATTCACTCCCTCCCCCCTCCCCCCCCGATAAGCAAAACCTGGAATCAGGAGCCGTGAGCAACCAACCAAGCTTAAAACGTCACTTTTGAGACACGAGCAACAAGCGAACCTGAACAAGTGACGACAGTCACGAGACGGGCCTCGTCCTCGTGACCGTCTGCACTTTTGAGAAATGAAGCTTAAACCACCCAGTACAAGCTTGAAAAGTGACGACGGTCACGAGGATGGCGCCGCCCGCGCTTTCGGATGCTGTCGGATGCTTTCGAACGCTTTGCGAACGCAAAAAGCGCACGATTCCCGCAAACTCCCCAACCACTGAAAGCCCACCTCTCAAAACGGGAACCCTAACAAATCCCAACAACCCTAATGTACGAACGAATCGACTAACAACCTTAACAACCCTAACAACCCTAACAACCCTTCTGTTACACCTTCGGGAAGAAGACTCCCGGCCGAGTCTGGGTCGGTGCTTCGGTGGAGTGAGCTCTCGCTCCCCCGGATGACTGCAGCGTTTAACTTTTTGGGACATTGTTACGATTGTGATGGCTGCTATCGCTGTTCTTGATATTACTGTTCTTCTGACTTAACTTTTTTAACAACAGCCCGAGAGCTGGCGGGTGAGAACCTCTGGCACCAAAGGTCACCAGGCGAGTCAAGCTCATTAGGTTGGGATGTTTCCCCCCCTCTCTTACGAACAGGCTTTAACTTTTGGGATACTGTTACTATTGTGATGGCTGCTATCGCTGTTATTACTCTTACTGTTCTTCTGACTTATTTTTGTTGCTCTTGCAACATGACAGGCGATGTTCATTTGAGTGTGCTCGACTCATGTATAGGCCAAGAGGCTTGCCAGTGAGCTGCCTGGGGAGAAAGTAGCGGAAGAACTGGCGAGACTGGACCGGAAGTGCCACCTCGCGTGGTCGCGAAGCAGGACAGCCCTCTCCCCGCCAATGGCTCAGAATTCCTATCCCTCTTTTCTTTTGAAATCGGTCGGTAGGTGTAGGGTTTAGGGTTTCGGGTTTAGGGCTTGGGGTTTAGGGTTTGGGGTTTAGGGTTTCGGGTTTAGGGGCGGGTATAGGCCTTCGCAGCGTCGCAGCTTCCTTAGCTTGATCTACTCTCCGGTCGTGGCTATTGGGAGTGCCGGAGAGGGACCTGTGATTTTCCTAGGGCCGTAATAATCAGAACAGGGTTTGGGGGGTTGCTATATTTTAGTATACTTACATTTAGGGGTTTAGTGGGGATCACCGCTACTTGGCATGACTTCCTCCCTTATCCTCCCTTCAGCGGAGCGAGACAAGGACGTCACTATATCTCCGAATGAGGCGCTTATCATTGACACCGGCGCCTGTTCCCAAACTCGAGCCGTCTCTTCCACAATTGCCATGGCGAGGAGCTTCACGGCCTCCACCTGGTGAACGGTCACAGGCCCGACTTGCAATTGGGTTTAGGGTTTAGGGTTTAGGGTTTAGGGTTTAGGGTTTAGGGTTTAGGGTTTAGGGACTTTTGCTTCAGCACGACCGGCGAGGGTGTCGGGGGGTTGGTGGGATTTGGGGCTGAAGGCTATATGACCGTTGACATTGACATGTCTGGATCCAGGCCTGTTCTTCTAGTTCTGCGTTACTTGCCAGTCTCAGCTGCAATGCAGGCCTAGTACCAGTGGAACTGCAAGTGCAAAATCTCCGCACCTCTTCCTGCTTGCCGCCAAGGCTGACCCACAGCTCACCTTCATCAGACTGCGCAAACCTCGCAAAAGACAAAAGGAAAACGGCAAGCTAACCGAGTAAGGTGCTGACAAGGTGATGAAGAAGAAACCTTGACACCGCTCAGACGTAATTGAACCCGGGGATGGCGCTGGGTGGCTCTGGAAAGGGGCCTATCCTGCAGTATACCATAAGCTCCTCGACACCCCTCAACGCCCCAGTGCTGCACATGAGGCTGAAGGCAAACGCTGGGATGGCTCCACTTCCACTCTGTAGCGCTCGCACGCTTCACCGCCTCCTGGAGCCATGGACGGACGCTGCGCAGTCTGCGCATACGGCTGGAGCGGCCCAGACTTCCCATGGTTTACTTTGATGCTTTGCTGAAACTGTGCGCGTTCAAAGGCAAATGTCGCCCGAAGCACAAACGACGCGGTAGCTTGCCAAGCACTCGAAAACCGCAAAGTAGATTGGCTTTAGCTGCACTCCTAAACGTGTCTTGGCGCAGATGTCATGGTCGAATGACGAACGTGCGGCGTCTTTCACATGTAGCCCGGCAGCACCTGGCAGCCCAAATCTGTACAACCCTAAACCCTAAACCCTAAACCCTAAACCCTAAACCCTAAACCCTGTCGAAAGTTACCCGTTCCCCGCCTTCGCCCTGTAGTCGTGCAGCAACACGCTCTGGGAGGCAAAAGTGCTCAGAATCCTCACAAAGCAGAGTTGCGGGTACGGATCTTCGAGAGGCTCTCTACACTCTCTACATGGCCCTCATGCAATAAATATGTAAATACAATATATGTATATATATGCATATGTATATATATATATATATGTGCATATATAAGGAGAATACAGTAGGGTTTTGGGGGTCTTTATAGTAAAAACAAATCGGGACCATCAGGGAAATCCAGTAGTAACTATTCCGACCCTCATATTACCTGGTTCAGGGTTTGGGGTTTGGCGCTGACTTAGAATTCAATTCAGCTTTGTTTTTGCCTTGCCAGTGCGATGCGCGAGAGAGCAAGAGAGAACTGATGACAACTCCGACTTTTGCCCGCAAGTTTACATTCAGCCCTAGGACATCACCAACTGATAAGTCATGTCAGATCAACAGTTATAACGATGTTTGTAACTGATGCCTGACACGCCCTTGCCCCAAAGGGCAGAGTGAATAACACCAGCACCGCATACCCAACAAGTCAGGCCTCTGAATGCTCCGGATGCCCTCCTCCACCTGGCCATGCGTGCAGTTCCTTCCCGACATGAAAAGGACGGCTCAGAGTTCAGGGCTTAGGTTTCTACAGTTTAGGGTCTCTGTCCGCGCTGCTTTGCTAGCCAATGGACATCTGCTGCACATGAGTTCGACGCACCCTACACCCGCAAAAGCCTCAACCTTTTTGGAAAGCAGCAAAAGCGGCCCCGGATGATCGGTGGCAGATTGGGTTCGAGCGTATTAAATGAATATACATATTTGTGGTGTTTTTCTGTCCTCCATTGTATAAATGTCCTGGTCCTAGCACCTAGCATTCTGGAAAATCACCAGCTGAGACACTCTGACCCTACCTGCGGATAATCCTGCCTAAGCCCTAAACCCTAAACCCTAAACCCTAAAACCCGGAACCCGTTCCAATTCCACAAAAGCACGAGCCCTGCTTTGAAGCTAGCCTGCCGCCGGCTGCCGGAGATCACCACCTGGGAAATTCCATCCAGAGTGAAATGCAAATCGGGCTTGGGGTTTAGGAGGGGTTTAGGGTTTAGGGTTTAGGCAAGTTTCGGGTTTAGGGTAATTTAGGGTCTAGGGGTTTAGGGTTGAAGGGTTTAAGGCAGCGGATGTCTTTGGATCAAGGGAAGAAGGCATGGCTCCTGTCCAATGCTCCAAGTTTGCGTTGAAAGGTTTTCTCTGCTACGGAACCTCCCATGGCGAGCACAAGAAGGCGCCTTGTCCTCGAACACCCGAAGGCGAGCACCAGTGGAAGCCTTGACCTCATGCGGTACATGGAGACCAAGTTAGTTCTAAGAGCTTGCCTAAACTTTACGTTCTCCAAAAACAGATGCTTGAGTAGCGTAGTAAAACTATCGCACAGAAAAAAGTTGCTATGCACTTATTCGCACAGCATAGCAAAGTGGATGGGAAACTCTAGTGGATCTACTGGTGCACACCACTACCTCGAAAGATCCCAGCCTGCTGCAGGCTGCCCCACACGAGGCTCTTGGCATTTTGAGGCAACTCCACATGCTCCAGGTGCTCCTAGCCCGGCGCTGCTTGCTCGACAAGTTGGCGTCAATCGGACATGACTTTCAATTTCTCGCTCATGCAAGGTGACAGTCTTCAGTGAGTCTTCAGTGCAAATAGAATAAGCCCAACCTTTCCCAGATTTCAGTACTTAGGCGAGTTTGCAATGCAGGGGAGGAGGATATCTTGTCCTGCATGCCATCCATATCGCGCACATCGACCATATGTCCCCCACAAATGGAGGTCGCTTTCCGGTCGAAGTCTTCAGCGCCATAGGCCGCCTTATCCTCGAAAAGCCTGACTGGGACCTGATGGCTGCAACGACCGCTATTTGGCGACTTTCTGCCACAACTGCAACTACTACCGCAGTTGCGGGCAGAGGAGCAGGAGGAGGAGGAGGAGGAGGAAGAGGAGGAGCAGGAGGAGCAGGAGGAGGAGGAGGTGGTGGTGGAGGGGGGAGGAGGAGGAGGCGGAGGAGGAAACTGAGAGCACACGTGATTTTGAAGTATAGTAAATCACAGCACAAGGGGGGAAGCCCTGCTGTTCTGTCCCGAAAAATGCTGCCTCGTGGTCGTCGTCAAATGCCATCCGGAAGGTGTAAAGCCGTCTATTATCCATGGACACGAACTTTCCCTCGTGACGGACCACGTTGATGAGAGGAATCTTGTGCACCTCACAAGTCGGGTGAGCCTCTCTCCAACAAAAAAAGTCCCTACTGGTTCCTGGTAAGGAAGGAGGAGTGCATTAGTAGGTACCTTTTCTCCCCCTGTATATGCACCCTTCAACGGATGAGATAGGGCGCCTCTTTCCCTCATTCCCTTCCAGGAACCAGTAGGTATCGTGCATTTTGACCAGTAGGGGTGTTTAGGGTTTAGGGTTTAGGGTTTAGGGGTGTTCCAAGGCACCAGGTCTGAGTTCTTGCGGAGCACTGCGACGGTCTCATCCAAAGGTCGGCCATCTTTGAAGCTTCCCGAAATGGTTGCCTAGGGGGTTTAGGGTTTAGGGTTTAGGGTGGCAAGAGCACTTCTTTAACGTGGCAAAAAATGCAGTCTTCTTTAGGAACGCCTGCCAGTGTCCTGCAATCTGGCCATGTAGTGCAAGGCTAGGGATTGAGCAAAAACATTGAGCTGAGGGTTTTGTTCTTTAAATGTAACCTCGCATGATGCCATACAAATCCCTCCACACCCTTCCACGAAGCCTCCTGCGAGCTGCCTCCCGCGAGCTTGCCCGACATCTCTGATAGCTACTTTCGGAATGTTGAGATGCCTTTGCAAATGCGCAAATTGCTTGGTTTAATTAGGGTTTAGGGTTTGGGGTTTAGGGTTTAGAGTGTATCCCAGGATCTTAACAAAGGGGGGAGGCCCAAGCCAGATGCCTGAGAGAACTGGAGCTCGCCGATGGCCACCCGGTCAACGCGGAAGCAGCGCCGGTCGTTGGACTCTCGCGTTCGAGGCTGGGCCTGGAAGCTGGGTTGAGGTTCAGGGTTCAGGTTTTTTGGGTTTAGGGTTTAGTGTTTAGGGTTTTACATTCTAGACCTAAAGCCCTTGACACCTAAACCCAAAACCCTGAACTCTGAACCTTGAGCCCTAAACCTGTTCCTTTGAAGCTCGGATGCCTCAGACCACTGCTGCCAGCATCTGCTGCAGTAGCCCTGCAAGAAGTGGGAGTCCTGGTCTGCTGTGCACCTGAGATGCACGGTTTAAGGTTTAGGTTTTAGGGTTTAGGGTATATCCTAAAGTAGCATGTTGCTTAGCATATTTTTTGGCGTCTTCACGGGGCCCGGGGGGGGGGGGGGGGGGGGAAATGCGCCTAAGAGTTGCAGTCTCCACAAGCCCACACTGTCTCCAAGAAAAACACGACTGTATACCCTGAACCCTAAACCTATATAGGCATAGTAGCTGTACTTCAGCAAAAGAAGCTCCAAAATAGATCCTAGGGCGATGCTAGAGCTGTATACGGAAAATGCTACGATGCAATGCTCCCCCCCCCACCCCCGCAGCCAGGGTTTAGGGTTCAGGGCTTGGGGAAGCCAATCACTCTTTTCAGCGTTGGGCGACGGCAGGACGCTTGCGATCCCTCAAACCTAGTTGTCCTCAGTGACTGCATAAAGTGCGAATACCACCGACACAATCCCTGCAGCGGCAAACCCTAAACCCTAAACCCTAAACCCTAAACCCTAAACCCTAAACCCTAAACCCCTAAACCCTGAAGCCGAAACTAAAGCAGTAAGTACCCAGGTTGAGGGCCTGGTCCACACTTCGCGACTTGCTGGACGCTTCTTGCGCAAGGAACTCTCAACGCTACGGCCTCATGGAGGGTTTAGGGTTTGGGGTTGAGTTCTTTTTTAAACAACCCTTCACTCCTTTTCGGGCGAGCTTACTGCCAGGGTAGGTTACGAAACCGGAATGCTATGCCGCTCAGTGGGTTTAGGGTTTAGGGTTTTAGGGTTTAGGGTTTAGGGATTAGGATCTAGGGTTTAGGGTTTGGGTTTAAGGTTTGGGGCTTTCAAACTCCAAAAAAAACGCATCCAATTGCTACGGTCTAAAGGGCTTTGGGGCTGTGAGCAAAGTAGAGACGCGTTACGCCGACTCGTGCTAAGCCTTTCCCTGTCGTACTGTGCCCGCATCCAATATTTCTGGGAAGTGCACCAGCAGCCCCTGCACCATTCAGTTGGCATGGGCGCTCGCTTGAAACAAGCTGACACGGACAAGGCTTCTGCTGCGGTTGTTCTGCATTTTTCATCTGAGGAGCTGGCGTGTGCGCGGAACTGAGTTGGGAACAACTACTGGGGGCATTTCAGCCTCCATTGGGCTTGACGTCAGCACTTGAGCACTACGCACCCTTGAGGGTAGTCTTGTGGCTTCGTGCAAGTTACTGTAAAACTATAAAAAGACTTGAGCCAACTTGATGACTTCGAATGGTACTGGGCTGTCAAAGCAGTTGGCTAGGACCCAACCCCAAGATACGATATCCAACTCTGGGAACCGTTCGCAAAGGGACACCCTCAACTTCTGAGCTTGCGCATTAAACCCTGACTAAAACCCAGCCCCAACCCCAACTCATTGGAGATTCCCTTAGAGCGATTGAAGTTGATCTGCAAGAGAGAATTCCCAAACTTCTTAACTCCGAAATTCCTAACCCTTAAAAGCCGAAAAGCCTTAAAAACCCTGAAGTGACAGGTGCCGCGCTGAGTTGTAGAGCAGAACGCTGCTGAAGCCAGGGCCTTAAGTGAATGGGCTTTCGATGGTACCCTAAACTATCCGGAATAGACCTGCGTCACCAGTACCTACCTAGCAAGTCCTGTGTGCCGGAATGGCTTTTTGTTCGAGGGTGGGGGCTGGGGATTCGGGGGTTAAAGTTCAGGGGTTTAGGGGGTTCTGGGTTCAAAAATTAGGGAGCTGCTGGCCGAAACTGCTCTGTGTCAGTGAGGATGCGGCTCAACACGTCATAGCCCTTGGCAGACTACACCGGGATGAAGAACAACTCCACGCAGCAGGCAAAAACATGTCAGGTTTGCGGGGGGGAATGCGAACAAACTCAGGCGTGTGTGATGTATGCGCGAGACCTGCTTAAATTGCTTGAGCTGAGATGTTTCAATGCCGTGGGCAAAGACTGCTTGCTTCAAAATGTTCGAAACTCAGGACAAGCAACGAACAAAAACACGCTGGGACGACCAAGGAGGTTGACCTGGTAGACGAAGCTAGGGGGAATTTCAACTTTCCAGTGGAGCTCTAGATTGCCCAGTAACCAAGGATTGAAAAGGGTGCCTTTTTTTCTTAAAGGAGTTTAGAAGGGAACCTAAACCCCCCAAAAAGGGAATAAAAGTGCTACTTTGGGATGTTCCTCCTTATTCGAACAATCCTCAAAAGAGAATAACAGTACCCTCCTATTGCAATCCCTACTAAAGCCTGTTACTCTAAAAAAAACATCCCAAATGCTACTGGGCATCCTGGAAAGTGCGTGTGGAGCATAGGCGTTCAGCGGACGCGTTGAAATTTCTGTGGCATGGGTCACTGTTCTGGGACTCACCGTAGCCCAGCGGCCCAGAAAAGATTCTGGCTCGGTGTAGGGGCTGGTTCAAGGTTCAGGGCTTAGGATCTATGACTAAAAGATCTTGCTGAAGCTAGTACCGAAAAGGGCACCCTCACCCCTAAGCCCTATAGTAACCAGCATCGGAACTCTGCTGAACGTGAGGGTTGCAGCGTCAGAGCCCGCTTGCGAGGCAACACGGAGCTAGCAAACATAGAAGGCGAGCTTCGTGGAAGAGTAGCTCAACAGTTTGGATCTAGGGTTGTGGTTGGGCATCTTGGGGTAGGGTCTTGACAATGCCCTGCTGTGCAGCTCTTTTCTAACACCTGTAAACCTAGCTCCAGCCGTTCAGGGTTTGGGGTTCGGACGTGACCCCCACATTGTAAACCTTGATCCCTACAGATTCAACCTCTAGATAAACTTCACACGTCGTTTACGCCAGTTTGGAGACACTCCTGAGCCAGATTTATCTGCATTCTGCTACAAGACCCGAACAAATTTGCAAAATAGATCAATACGCCGATGCTGTCCTGGCCTTTCCATGAACAACTTCTGAAGTTATCCTCTTGAATTGCGAAATTCAATCCAAGGCTCCCGTCTCCCACTGGCTTTCCCAGCGGCCCACACGGACATCACTGCCGGGCTTACAAGCCATGGCACTGGAGATGTGGCAATTTGAACTTGGGGCCCCAAAGCTTGAGGGGCTTTGGGGTTCATGGATGTTGTTTTTGGGTTTCTGGGTGTCGTGGGTTTTTTTTGCTTAAGGTTCGTTGTTATGTTGCTTAAGGTTTGTTGTGACTTTGTGAACTTCCGCAATACCTCAGCAAGTCGAGATGAAGAGTAAACCCGACAATATGGGCTAGGCCCTACGAGGACATTCAGAATAAGAAGCGGTTCTGGACTACTTAGTATCCTTCAATGGTGCCGCGTGTGTTCCTGCAGAAGCGGCGCGGAATGCGTATCTCACAGGAGGATGATCGAAGTAAGCGAGAGCTGACCAAGTCACACAAGAGCTCATCAAAGCAAAACAGCTAGCCAAAGCATGCGCTAGCCGAACTACCTGCCGTTTCATGTGAACATATATGGGTTGTGAATATCTAGTCAGCTACCTGATGAGCGAAACAACACCGAGCCAGAGCGAATGCCTACCCTCTGCCGACTAAAGCCGCTCATGCGAAGCAAGTCCTGGAAGATTGTGAGCTGGGCTACAGTTGTTACCTCTCAGACCTTTTTCGAATTCTTGGACCAATGTTTCCCAAATCAGGGACCTGAGGCAACGTGGACATTCTGGCAAGCGCATGTAGAAAGGCAAAAGCATTAACCACTTCCCGCTCTCTGCTTCCAGGAGGGAGTGTTTGTCTTGGGCTGGAACTTAAAACGACAAGGGAACTAAATGTGCTCGAAGCCAGATCGAAAAGCAGCCTCAGGGTTCTGATCATTTAGGGCCTAAGAATTTAATGAGGTCTTTGTAAGCCCTTCTGCCCACGCGCGTCAGATGGCTTCAGCTGTTTTGGCGTGGTCGACAACAGATGCGTGCGGAGGCCAAGCGTTATCCAATTCACCGGCCTGGCCACGGAATTCTCTTCGAAGCTTTACAAACTGTCTGAGCTGGCTTGTGAGGCGGCACTGACGGTTACTAACGGTTACCTTAATCAACGCAAGACCCTGAAACCAGAACACGCAGAGGTCTTGTGTTGCGACTGTAGAGTTCACGCAGGGTAGTGATCGTAAAGGCATTGACAACCTTCAACACCCTGAACCCTGAAAGCAAACCCCCTAACTGGAGCCCATACTCGACACCTTACACCCCCCTTCAACCCTAAACCCTAAACTCCCTTTTTTGAACTCTCCCAAAAACGCCCGAAGCACGCCGAGGCGACCGACCGCCCCGCGCAGGCCATAAGCCCATGGATGAGCTCCTAGAGGTCTTCCAGGGTTAAGGGTTTAGGGCTTCGAGGACCTCGGAGGGAAGGGAGGAGCGTCAGACGTGCCAGGGCTTTAAGGTTTAGGGCTCAGCGGGTTACTCTTCACTGGGCCTCATGAAAGGGGATGCTCGGGGTGGAGTGTGGGGGGATGCGATGGCAAACTCACAAAGGATGGGGCGCGTTTGGAGCAACCCGCATGGACAAACCAATTGGTCAAGATCCATAAGTCTCTTGAAAGAAGCCTCAAACCCTAAACCCTAAGGGCCTAACCCCCAAACACCAAACCCTAAACCCTGAAAACAGACCCAACAAACCCAGTAACTTCGCCGCCTACAATCTTACTGCTTGGGGTCTCTGCCGGCATAATTTTTGTATATGTGGGGCGCCTGGATTTGGGACATGCCCACTTGTGTCCACGACCACGACGCATATAATCTGCCGACCCAAAACCCTGGTGAAAGACGAGGCGGTTCTTTGGCAGCCTGGGGGAGTGGAAACCCTTAGCCTTAGACTTGCCCGCCCCACCTCAAAAGATCACGATCCGAGATGTTAGCCCCGGAGCCTTAAACCCCAAACTGGCCCCGGAACTCCTGTTTTCTCAGTTGGGCCCCCAGCGCGCCCAGCGCGTGCTGGTGACAAGAGAGGCACATCACCCCGAAGCCCTCCCTCTTTGTAGATGAGACCCTTAAACACTTAAGCCCTGAACCCTTGAACTTTGCCGTAAACCCTCAACTCAGGTGCAGCTCCTCGTAGAAGTGACTGGGCAGTCGACCCTTGGGCCACAGAGCTTTCATTCGGAGCTGGACGCGCGAAGATTAAGGGCTTAGGGTTCATTATGGGGGGGGGGGGGGGGGGGGGGGGGGGGGGCGTACTGGGCTTATACGGCTTATATTGTGCTTAGGGCTACATCGGGCTTTCAAGGCTCACGTGGCAGAATTGGGGCCTTTAGAGCTCATGTTTATAGGTTTTGTGTTGTGGTTCATAGGGGTTTATAGGGTTGGCGGGGCTAGGGCTATTTAGGTCAGGATGCCCAAGCCACAAGCCTCTAAGGGGTAGGTGGGGGAGAGGAGGGGGAAAGCGGTAGCTAATTGGTCCTCTTTTTGGGGTCAAGGTTGTGAGCTTGAAAGGGTTGTTGAGTGATGCGGTTGGGAGTTCATAGGCGGTGTAATTAGGGTTTGGGGCGCGCAATCTGTTTTTTTGGGTTTGCGGTGTAGCCCAAAGACGTAACACTGTTCCTTAGACATACTCTATAAAGCCTCTGCGCCCTATGAGACCCCCAAGTTAGGCTCACTCGAAGCCCCAAACCCAAAACCTTAAACCCTTTTTCGACGCTGCTGGACTTTAGCGGCGAGTTTTCGGGCGTGGTATGCCCACCAGTGATCGGGGTTTAGGGTTTCGGGGCTTGTGGGTTTCGGCCGCAGGGCTCAAGGCCAGGCTTCGAGCTTGAGGAATGAAACTTATAGTGTTCAGGGTGACGCTACCCCGGTGTTGCGCTTGTAGAACACCTGAGCCAGCTAACCCTTGAAGCCAGCATGCCTTCACTGCCACTTTCAAGCGGTTAACAATTAGCAAATAAGACGGCTGCCGTGAGTTCAGCCCTTGAAGGGCTTTCATACCGGGGGCAATCCAAGTCCCCCACGCCGCACGCGTGGTATTGCTGTAGGATCGCCTTTGCTTGGTCCTCAGCACGAACAGGACGAAGGTAACCCGCGTAACACGTGGA